TTAAGGTTTTTAGGTAATTGTAAGGCTGATTGCATGAACTTTCCGATATGGAAATAATCGATTTAAACAATATAATGGAGATTTAGTAATGAATTTAAAATAAAACCAATTCTTATTGGCTTATAATATTTTAGGATGTTTGATAAGTTCATGTAAATTTAATTACTTTACCTCTATTCAAAATTAATCACCATTATTTTGAATTTGTATATAAATTATAATTTGTCTATATGGTACTTTATTGAGAAAACCCAATGGTTTGCCTTTAATTTGTAGTACAAAAAAATTTAAAACAAATTTTGAACAAAACATTACGAAGAAACGACTTGGCCGATCTTTACCAAGAATTGATCAGCAAGATTTATCATAAGCTATTTATTGAATTATTTTTTATATTAAAATTAAATTGGAGGAAAATTATTTTATTACTTCGTGGTTCATGACCATCATCAATCTATTATTCACGAAAAATTTCTGTGCTGAATAATCATATATTCATTGAAAAATATTTGGTATAAACTGTAAAATTTATTCATGTTTTGCAATAACAGGAATCATAAAGTTTATGCATAATAGAAATTTTATGAAATATTGTGAAATATTACGGAATGACACTCTTCTAAGGTTATGACTTTGATAATGACATTTTAGGAATCTTTAGTGACCTTAAAAATATTTACAGTATTTTGCTTATTCATCAATATTTTTCTGGTAATGTTCATCTTCTTCCAGGTAGTAATAATAATAATAAGTATTTTATTGAAATACTTGAAATTTTTATGAACAGCAAATTTGATGAATTTGTGGTTAATCGGAAATTCGTATTTTTTTAATATTTTTGAAATAGTATTAAACTTTTTTTTATTCCTGTTTTAAGTTTTAAGTTGCAGAAGTGTGTATGCGTACTTGCAAATATAAATATCTGTATTTATGAACAATATAAAAAAGGCTAATATATATAAATATAACTAGAGGGGTGCGATGGCCTTAAGGCAAATTGCTGGAACTTCCCGTACCGTAATTAAAAATCTTGGTACGGAACCCAAAAAAAATTACACAAAATGTGTACACATTATTAAAATCTCTATAAAATATCTGATAATCTAATGTACATATGTCCAATAAACATTTTTGACCGCCAAATGACTTTTTTTTAACTTATTTTTATTGAGAGTCTATAACCGCTGGACCTGGCTTCCAAGAAATTTAATCAGTTCTTCATCTTTTCAATACTAGTAAAATATTTTTAGAATTATTAAAATCGGACGCTCCGTTCTTTCAAAAACTGAGTTACCGTTTTAGGCACTTTTTGCCGCGTATCTTCGGAACGGCTAGAACTGCCTTTGCCAAAAACTAATCAGGCCGTCTCCTTACCAATACGAATCGAATGTTTTTTGAATTATTCAAATCGATTGATCGATGTTCCTGAAATCGTCGATGGAATTTGTATCCGCACACACACACATACACACACAACCCTACTTACCCTACGGGAAGTTTCTAAGATTTTCAAGGTATTATGAAATTCTATAATATTTTAAGGTAGAATATAGCAAAGTTTTTAGGTAGGTAGTTGCTCAATAATTTATATTATAAATAAATCGCCATTAAAATTTTAAATATTCAATTTGTTAGATATTTTTGACTTTTGACAAATGTTTTTTTAATTACTTATATGCATTATGATCCATTATATGAAGAAATCAAGTAATATGCAACCCTATGGTTGTCTTTTCTTGCTATGATATATTTTAATCTACTAAATATTTTTGTATAATTAAATTTTTGCAGTAATGATGACCTAAAGTGTAAATTACACTTGGAAACATATTTTGATCTATATTTCTAACAATAAGTGGAAATGGATGTCATTACAGCTTGTTATCAGGTTGTTAACCATTTACATTTGAGTGGCAATATATCAGATTTATATTATATATCTATGTGCGTATATTGTGTCTCCAAAAGGTGTTTGAGATCTATGATTTCAATAGAAAATCTGGTATCATACTGCTTGATGCCGAGCTGGCCGAAGTTAAGATCGATGCAGAGATTAAAGAATGTTGCTAACGTTCTTCTAATCAAAAATATATTATAAAACATACAATTTATCTAGATAGAATTTAATTATAAAGCCTATTGTTAACTATGAGATGAAGAGAACAGATAATGTTTAGGAAACATAATTTACATTTCAATAGCTTTGTATAAAAACCGACTAAAAACTAAACAATAGAAATAACAAAACCGAATCGCTTGTAAATAAAATTTATTTCACTTAACTCATGCGTTAAAGTCTGCGTTTTGTTGATTGCAATGATATTTACATATTAGCATATCGTGATGATGTTCTGATAAGTGAAAAAAATAATTTCTGTACACAATTTAAATAAATTTCAACACGCAAATACAGATCCATGTATTATTAAGATTATATTTACGTTTTGATATATGTAGAAAGTCCGAAAAGGTAATGAGGCGACGACTTATCGACGGATGGAGTGAAATTCTATCGAAATTATTATGACTTTCATAAACACAAGCAAATGTGTATCAGGAAATCATTATGTAAGGAGACACGCGATTATCTACACATATGAGTCGACAGAATAAAAACTCAAAAAAAAAAAATTATAAATCGGAATCGGACTACATACTTCAATTAGATATTACGTATGGTTAATAATTATAAAGCCCGGAATGTTATGAATTAGATAACTCGGAAGAAATGAAAAAGAATGGGTTTTTTAAGAAATGTATCCGTGTTTAACGCGGAAAATGTCGCCGGATTTCTAAAAAAGAATTTTGCATACATTGACTGCATTTCCAGTCTTAAGAATAAATTGAGCTCTATCAGAGATAAATTAATCACGGCTGGAAATTAATCACTAACATCTACTTCATGAAAATATTTTGCTATCAATTTTGTTATTCATGATTGAATAAATTTATAGTCAAATAAAATATACCTGTAAAATAGCTGAATGTGTGTGTATAGTTTGCTATGAACAATAAACCAAAAAAAATTTGCACAAATTACATTAACTTTTAGTTATGCCATTGAGGTCAATTTGCAATTATCGATTTACTAAATTGCTATTGCATTTTTTATAAAATATAATTGTAAATATAATAGAGCATAATGTATGTTCTGTATCAGAATAATAAATGCCATGCCATTCCATAACCATTTAAGATACTTTTATTAGATAAATAAGTTGCTCTTATAACTATTAAAAATTGAAAATAAAATGAACATTAATCTTTATATTCCAATTGATAATTGTGGACTAATGAAAACAGCTAGTCTTAAGATATATATATATATATATATATATATATATATATATATATAAACTTATTACAGGTATATATCCTATAGTCATATATTCAATTTTTTTAAATTTTTCATTTCAGCATCTTTCATGATTTATTAAATTATTGTTTTCAGGAGAAATTATACATACCATGCACTATTTAAATTAATAATTATAGTTTGTAAATTAATTTTTATCAGAATTATTTGAAATCAGCGGTAATGAGTATCTCTCGCTTTTAAGAATTATGTAAAATTTTGGTGATTTTAATTAATTTTTAACTTTTAATCTTAATGATTAATGTAGCTTTGAATGTGTGTGTAAATTATTTCCAGCTGTGATATATTTTAAGTAAATATTGAAAATAACAATCTTTTCTGGGACAATCTGGGATAAAAAAAATAAAATCAGGGACATTATTGCTTCTAAAAAAGTTTGGGTTGTAAGGTGGAAATCCGGGACTTTTCAGAGGAATCCGGAGCTATTGCTCATAATAATACTTATTATTTTATTTACGCGTTTTGGCACTATTTTGTATAAAAATTATTTTAATATTATTCTACAGTTTAAACTGACACAGTTAACAACATAAAAAAATATATAAAATAAAATTAATATTGAAAAACTTTTATGCTAAACCGCCTACATTAAACTATGTAAGTTAGTTCTTTAGTTTGATTAAAGTCATCTTTAAATTACTCTACTTTTTATTTATTTAATAATTATCTGTATGTTTTTTCTGTATATATATATATATATATATATATATATATATATATATATATATATATATATATATATATATATATCATTCCAATAGCTATCAAATTTCGATGAAGTAGCACATAATTAACTTGAGCTTGTTTTCGTTTCCTCAATAAATTTTCTAATTAGAGATTTCAATGAATTACCAGTCAACGGTAATAGTATTTAATTAAGACATCGTTAGATTCAACAGATTTCTCGTAGATAAATCTTAATTAGATTAGATTTTGCACGATGTAACTCGAAGAGATCAAAGTTGGAATTGTAAACTAGTTGAATTAACAAAATATATAAAAAACTATGTTTTCTTTGAAAGGTTCGCACACAATAATTTTCCAGTATTTCGTGATTTATTTGTTAGTATATAGATTTTTTTTAATAAATAGGTGAAATATACATAAAATATTTCTTATATTGCGATTGTGTTGTCATTTACATAACGATTGAGAAGGTTTGATTGTCTTTTGCTCTAATTATTGCAACAGCATGCAATTTTCTAGTGCATTGCCTTTTGTTGTTTCATCTATATTTTATTATATATATATATATATATATATATATATATATATATATATATATAAATTTACATATTTTGCATGAGCATGCATATAAATATGCTTATACCCATTTAGAACTTGCGGAAAATCTCATAACTGTAAATTTATATGAGAAACGAATTCCTTAACTTCAATTACATAAAAAATTGTATTACGATACTAATATTTTATTTGGTGATATTTATATTTCATTTGATGATATTTATATTTTATTTGGTCAATAACAATTTGCACCGATCATGAACTTCGATAGATCTTCGCACAAATATAATGAACGTGATTCTCATATGATATTTCTCGAATAAAATTTAATTAGAATAATTTTTAAAAATACATAATTATATAAAGATGTGGTACTTACAAAGTATGGTATGTGCTTGGCTTTTTGGTTTTTCAGTTTGCTGCTGATTTCGTCTTTTATATGCTGCGTTTTAGAACTTTGCATATAATACATTTGCCATATGCTAGGTTTTTCACGGTGAGCTCTTGTCTCTAAAATAATAATAAAAAATCATAATTATATAATCATTCGTCATTATTAAATCAATATAAATAAAGTTATAGCTAATTATTTGATTTAAATTTTTAGTACCGATAAAGCTTGAGGGCTTAGTAGTACTTTTATCATCGATTACCAATTCCATTTGTTTTTTTATGTTTGCAATAGAAAATTTGGTAATATTTGTAATTTTGTATAATATTAGATACATATATTTTTATGTCTTCCATGAAATTATATATTTCAAAGGTCACAAAAAATATTTAAAAAAATTGATAAAAAGTTATTCCTATTGCAATTCTTTTCTACAGAATTCTGACCACACAATTTCTTCAGCCAAAAAATCAACTTCGATATTTCATTCAGTACTATAAAAGAATTACGATTTTATATTTTATGATATATTCGTATTTAAATTCTATTTTATTCTCATCTTATTTTCTTCATACAAATTTTTCAACCAAAAAATACTTTTAATTACTTACACTTGCAAAATTAAATTTAAAATTTCAGCTCAATTTAAAAGTTAATTATATGATCACGAGGTCATCAGCAGTCAAAGTACTAAAAATTTTATATCCATTGCAATTGTATTTTGTCGTAAAATCCTCAATAAATTATGAATAAGACATTCATGATAAAATAATAAAATCAAGATTATTCAATTAAAATTCGAACTATACCAGAAGTAAAAATAATCAGAAGGAATAAATATTAGAGAATTAGAATTAAATGAATTGAAGTAGTAGAAGAAGTAAGAAGAGTTTAGAAGATAAAATGAGTGGATAGTAAAGAAGAAAAGGAAGAATGAAGATAAGTTGGGAAGTATAAATAAGAATAGGATTTATATGAAGAAGATAGTATAAAATTAAAGATTGCATAGAATATGATTGTATAGAAGTATTATTGTATACCTCGAGTAAGCGAGGCCATTAAAATAAAAAAAAAACAGAAATATTGTAGAATATAAGTGTATATATTATAATAAAAATAAATACGCCAGTCCAAAATTAGCTCTAGCCAATTTTGGCACAATATTAAAAATACTGGGTCAATATTGGAATATTTAGATACTATTACAATTCGATTTGCTCCCCGATTAATTTCTTCTGTTGTAAAATTATTTCATTCAGAAAATAATAGGTAAAATACTATTGCTACACAAAATAAAATAATTCAGCTGATCTGCCAATAATAAATAATTATCATTAAAAAAATAAACCTTTATTATGAATTAACATTTACCTTTACCGCAAAGATCCTTTTTGTCCTTGTCCATCAGTTCATAGTTAATACTCAACTCTGACATATTATCACAATTTCCTTTACTGTTTCGGTTCACAAATTCACATTTAGTTTTCACTATTGGGTCACTTTTCACATTCACATATTCACACTGATTATTAGATTTTAAATTTTCACTTTCTGAATTATAAAGTTCACTATTATAAGCTTTTTGACTCCCGATATTTTTCGTATTGAATATTTCGTTCTTGAAATTCAGCATGGGATCTGGAAGAAAAAGAAAAATGATAAGCTTTCACAAGTTTTTCTTCTCCAATATCCTTTGAAGATTTATTTTATTATACGATTATTTATAATGTAGTACGAACATTTCAGATTCCTATAAATATGATATAACATGACGCACGTTGATGCAATAGAAATTGCAGTCGGAATAGTACCAATTTAAGCAAATGCTGGAAATATAGTACTGTTATACAACTCATTACGAGAATCATTTTGCTTGTACTTTTGCGAAATGAGAGCAGACACAACATTAATTATTTTAGAATTAATATAAACTCATAAATGAGAGGAGAAAAATATATTAATTGTTAATACTAATAAAAATTGTAGTAGTAAATGTAATATGGTAACAAATATATAGAACAGGGTCAATTGGGTAGATTGATTGGTAGACTCAATAGTAGGTACCAAATCAATTACATAAAATCAGCAGTAGGGATTGCAATACCGATAGAAAATTTCAATACCGGTATTTCGGTAATTTTTTATTTTAAAACCGGAATACAGGTAAATTACCTGTATTTTTATCATCTTAAACAAACGTAAACAAAATTGAATGTTACCTGTACAAATATATAAAAATATATATACAACTACAACTATATTCAACTAAATAATAAAAACAATAAAATAAAACAATAAGTTTATTTTTTTTTCAATTTAATTAATTCATTATCTCTATCGAGTATATTGAGTACTTTTCACCAAAAACAAACAAAGTAAGAAAGACCAAAAACTCATAAAAGATCATATTACATTATTATAATAAATCGTATTGTCTGTATTTGATGTGTTTAATTAGCATAATCTCCAATATTTTAAAAAAATAATTTTTCTACACTAATTTAAGAACGAGATAAATAATAAGTTACTATAATTATTGAGTATTGTTATTTAAAACAATGTGATGCTTCTATAGTATTCTAAAACTTCGAAACGTTTTCGAAAAATAATATTTCATAATTGTAATACGAAGCAAAAATATTTAGTAATTATCATAATTATTAATGCTATGAAAAAAAATAAAGATCAAGCAGGGGTAATCTGTATGACATAACATATTTTGGCGCAAATATCACTTAAAAAACTGTTACATTTTTATGTAAGATGAAACAAACATCATTATCTATCGGTCCAATTCTATTTATTGTAACACGATATGTAGCCCTTAGTAAAGCAATAAATATTCAGTTTAATGACGAGTTGAGATAATATTTGACATTTGTTTATCCTATAGAATCACTTGAAGATATAGCAGTTTATGCGAATATTGAATTTAAAGATAAATTTGTTCCGAGAAATTTAAACTTTAATGTATTATATATCAAATAGCGCTTATGTAAAAATACCGAAAATACCTGTATGTTTGGGGTAATTACCGGTAAAAATACCCCCGAAAAATCGGGTACCGGTTGACCGGTAATTTGGTATACCGGAATGCCGGTATTGCATTCTCTAGTATGTACTAAATCAATTGCACAAAATCAGCAGGTTCATGACAATTATGTTACATTTTCCTCACCATATATAAAATGTATAATATTAATTTTATTTTATTTACCTTTATCGCCAAAAGCTCTAGTCACGGTCAACAGCTTTCTGTCGCTCCTCAAACATACACTCAAACGCCTCATAGCGTCTTCACAGTTTGATAAATCATTATTTGAACTATGATGAACATCTACTTCACTCCTTGGAAAAACATTGGGCTTCTGCTGCAAAAGATCCACATTCTTATCAGCGCCCATCACCCTGTCGTCAGCAGATTGACATGGGTCAGTCCTGGCATTTGATATATCTGTCGTGACTTCTAATCCGTAGACATCATCAGTCGTCATGTTGTTGATATCATGACGGGCTTTGCCTGTCGAAACGTCACATTGGGTTTCGGAACAATCGTGGTTCCTAATGTGACCCAAAAGTTCTTGGCGGATCGTCAGCAATGCACTTCTAGGAGAATGAGCTTCTAAAAGTATGGATTCGATTTCCTGAGGGAAAATATAAATAAACATAAATGAATATAGGTGTATAAATTCATACGTAATACACACATACACACACATATATATATATATATATTATATATATATATATATATTTATATATATATTATATTTATGCATATATATGCATGTATCGCCTTTGTTGAAGACAGGCGGTATGACATTCATTATGATTTATGATAATAAGGAAGTAATATACTCTTAGCTGAATTGATATTTTTTCCTATATTGCCATTTTACATAAACAACATTCCGCACCAACATTTCTGGATTACTATTACAACATTATGCAGTGAAAAAATATACAATAAAAAATTAAACTAGTGGGGCGCATGGCATCGTGCCTTAAGGTAAATTGCTGGAACTTCCCGTACCGTAATTAAACATGCGACAAATAAAAACTAGCTGTAAGTGGAATTCTGTCTTAAGGCAATTAGGGCATCGTGCCTTAAGGCAAATTGCTGGAACTTCCCGTACCAAAATTTTTTATTTTTTTTAAAAACGATTAACATTTTTGAAAAAATTTTACTTCGAAAAAAAATAGATTTTTGAGAAACTATAAAATTGACAAAAAATTACTTTTTTTAGAAAAAAAAATTTTTTTATTTGAAAAAAAAAAATTTTTTATGAAAAAAATTTTTTTTGAAAACAAAAAAAATTTAAAAAAAAAAAATGTTTTCTTCATTTTGACATATTTTGGAAATTTTGAACTTTTTTTCAAAGCAATCGCACTGCTTGAACTGCATAGAGACGAAATATCGAAGCGCGCAAGTGCCGCGCCGCCGTCTAACGCATAAGCATTGGTACGGAACCCATAGAAATGTAAAAAAAAATTATACTTATTGTTAAAATTTCTATAAAATATCTGATAATTTGATGTGCATATGTCTAATGTTCATTTTTGACCGCCAAATGGCTCATTTTTTTACTTTTTCCTCCATATCTCCAAACTCGTTGGACCTGCCTTTCCAAAAATTTAAACAGTTGTTCATTTAGTCAATACAAATAAAATGTTTTTTAACTTCCCGTAGGGTAAGTTATAGTAATCGCAAAAAAATCGAAAATGAAAATTTTTATATATCTTTACGTTTCAGAGGTTTCTGAACATTTTGGCATACCTTAGAAAAAATGGATGTATGTGTGTGTGTGTGTGTGTATGTGTGTGTGTGTGTGTGTATGTATGTATGTATGTACGTGTGTGTATGTATGTGCGGATACAAATTTTCGTCGACGATTTCGGGAACACGGATCAACCGATTTGAATAATTCAAAAAACATTCGATTCGTATTGATAAGGAGACGTGCTGATTAGTTTTTGGCGAAGGCAGGTCTAGCCGTTCCGAAGATACGGGGCAAAAAGTGCCGAACACGGTAACTCAGTTTTTAAGAGAACGGAGCGTTCGATGTAAATTATTGATTATAATCAAATTATTGATTATAAAAACCTACCGTAAACCTATAAGTTCATTTAGGCATTCATAAATTAGGCTTCGAAATTAATTTGATCCTTTTTGATAATCTAAATTTTTTTTCGAAATTTTCAATTTTTTTTCAGAAGTTTGAAATTTTTTGATTTTTTTTTAACGAATTTAATTTTTTGAGAATTTGGAAATTTTTGAAAATATTCGATTTTTGTGAAAATTTCAACATATTCTAAAATTTTTGTGCAAAATTGTTTTTTTTTTAAATATTGCAAAGTTTGAGTTTTTTGAAACTTTATTTTTTTTTTTGAAAATTTTGAATTTTTTTTGAAAATTTTTTTGGCACTTTTTTCACATGTCCTTGAAACGGCTAGACCTGCCTATCCCAAAAACTAATCAGCACATCTCCTTATCAATACGAATCGAATGTTGTTTAAATTATTCAAATCGGTCGTACGTGTTCCCGAAATCGTCGACAAAAATTTGTATCCGCACACACACGCACGCACATACACGCACATACATCCATTTTTTCTAAGGTATGCCAAAATGTTCAGAAACCTTTGATACATAAAAAGGTATAAAAAAATTTTCTTTTTTTGCATTTACTCAGCCTACGGGAAGTTAATCGGTCAGTGAAAAAATATACAATAAAAAATTAAAAAATATATTACAGAATATGATAGTACGTTTTATATTTAGAGTATTATAACAACTTTCTCAGAGAAATAGAAAAAACAAACATGTAATATGAAACACGATTGATTTTTTATTGGTAATAATGATAATATTACAAATAATGTGTACAGGAAAATCTGTTTTTATAAAACCGCAAGAATTATCAAACAAAGACATTATTTGTTTTCACAAACTACAATCGTTTAAATTGTGCTCTAAAATAATCAAAAAAATTGAAAAATGGCGTCAAATTTGGTTAAAAAACCGAAATTGGTTAGAAATGATTTGTATAGAAATAGTTTTATTGATACAATGAGTCCCAATGAGAATTATAATATTATTAAAATTAAAATATGTACAACCATGCCTTGGCTCATCAGGAATAATAGTTTAATATCAGGAATAATTCTGATTTCTGATTCATTTTCTCATGTCACAACTTCCTATACTAAATTTTTTTTGAAATATACCACTAGTGTATAATAAATAACATATCATAGCTGAAGTACTACTGCAATAGTTTACTTCAAATTATGTATCTCTCATACCCGTTTTAAAAGTTTCAAACTATATTATTTTAAAAGTTTCCAAAGTTGTCATAGTTTGGATAGTCAGATGATTAATGATAAAATTCATCACGATGCCGTAAAATTTTTAAATTTGAGTTTTTGTATTCATAACATGCTCAATTTCCTCATCAATTACCAAATCAATTAAATTATTACTATATTGAGAATATATTAATCATTTATATTACTTGTGAAAGTTTGACTAGCATCCTTGAAGCATCGCAACGACATTTGCTTTTATTATCATCACTTGGTTCACGTCTGTCACCAATAGTAGAACTTCCTCTACCGTCTATGATTTCGTCTTCATTTCCAATTCCGTCATCTTCCTGATCCTGAAATCTTGGATCTAGATTCAAGTCAATTTCGAAATTGGAATTCCTCCGGTTATTAGAATCGTGTCGACTCATTTTTGAGTCGAAATGAGCCGGATCTGGATGATGGGTGAGGTTGGAGTCGGAATCCCAACCGTCATACTTCCTTCGAGCTAAGATGATTCGATCCATGGGAGGCCACACTGGTCTGGGGGATACACAATTTAAATTTATTATCATAAATTAAAATTAATGAGATATTGTGCAAAATTTTTCGATTTGAGTAGCAACAGTCAGACTTAAAAAATCCTTGTACATTGCCTTTGAAAAACATTAAATCTGATAAATTATTTTTTCTAGAAAACGGTTTTACAGACTCAAAATATGACTCATTTTTTCTTTAATTATTCTGAAAATACATTTAAAGCATTTGCAAGCTTCTTAATGAAGCCAAAAAGCATCGTGCTTTAAATCATTGGCCCTGGGTTAACATCTACGTTTTGGACAACCTGATATCAAACAGTACTGAGAAATAAAATAGACCTACTTGACATTGTTGTATTAAGTTAAAATATATCATCACTATTAGGAAGAGCAACTGATGGGTTGCCTTCTAACATAAAAGGTAATAAATAGATAAAACAGCCATAGGGTTGTTTTCTAATAAGTGCTATAGTTGAGTTAAAATTATCATTAAAAATGCTTATAGAAACCAAGTCCTAATTACTGTTCAAACTGCATGGCATCGTGCCTTATGGAAAATTGCTGGAACTTCCCGTACCAGAATTAAATATTAGAGCAAAAAAAAAAAAATTAATAATCAATAAATATTGATCAATGATTAATTACAAGTGTTTTACATACTTTCAAAAACAAAATTAATATTACTATTACTGTCTTATCGCTCAAAACACTTGAAAATGTTTACATTAAAGAGAAGCCGAGCAAATCCACCTGAGGATATATTTCTTACGAGTAAAATAATGCATATGAAATATATACATTTTTAAACTGAATTATAAATTTAAAATTTATGTATATATATATATATATATATATATATATATATATACTTAAAAATTTTGAAAAAAAAATCTGAAGATTTTGAAATTTATTTGAACCTTATAAGTAAACTTTAAAAATTAACACTCTTGGTACGGAAGCCAAAAAAATTGTAACAAAATTAGTCCACATATTTAAAATGCATATTTCTAACAATAATTTTTAACCGCCAAATATCATTTTTTTTCACTTTTTCCTCTGTATCTCCGAAACCGCTAGACCTGCCTTACCAAAATTTTTACCAATTTTTCATTTCATCAATACAAGTAAAATGTTTTTTGAATCATTCAAATTTGGTACTCCGTTCTCTCAAAAACTGAATTACCGTTATTGACACTTTTTGTCCGTATCTTCGAAACGGCTGGACTTGTCTTCACCAAAAACTAATCAGCACGTCTTCTCATCAATAGGAATCGAATGTTTCTTAAATCATTCAAATCGGTTGATTCGTGCGCCCGAAATCATCGACGAAAAATTGTATCCAAGCGTACACACACATACACACATATATCTATTTTTTCTAAGGTATGCCAAAATGTTCAAAAACCTTTAAAACGTAAAGATATGCAAAAAATAACTTGAAGATCCAAACAAATATCAATATTTTATTCATTTCTGAACCGTTAGTTTGTAAATTACGACCGAGAAAAACACGAGTGTCTAGATGCAACATGCAACTATGTATGTTTATTTGTAACTTTCTTAACAAATTATTACCTATAAAAATGTGGAATTTCAATTACTTAAAAACATCACGCTTTTTAGCGTGTCTAACGGCTGTCCTTTATATTAAATTAATATAATTTATACAAGAAACGCAGTTTTTATTATCAATAGTTTGACGCATTACAAATTAGTCTGATTTTATTATTATTTCGTGATTCATTTTCATTCTGAATGTGCAAATAGAAATCTAGAGAATTAACGCGACAATATGAAAATCAATAAAAATGATTAAGTTTTTTATGTATTAATTTAAGTGAATGCAATTTTCAGAGATAATGAAATATTAGAACCGATGAAGGTCTCATTTTGCAATAGCTGAGTGCATCATGAAATGGGAAAAAGGCAAAAACAAAATGAAATTGCTATTTGGAATTAGAAAATGAATTGAAAAAGAAAGTGCACATTATAACAAAAACTAAATCACACCTTGGAATATGTTATTAACGTTAACATTCTTTTAACACGATTCTGGACATGCACTTATATTCCAATAGATTCAGAAGTTGTTGGTGTATTTGTGCTCATTCATATAATAATATATATATATATATATATATATATATATATATATACATATATATTAATTTTAAATAGAAATTTTCTGGTTGCTTAACAAACTTCTCCGAGAAAATGCCAATAGAAATCCTGTGAAAACATAGCTCTTAAAGTCAAATCAATCATAAAGTTAGTGCTGTTTTTACTATGCAAAACTTATGTAAGACAAATATATAATATGGGATACAAATTTCCATTTTTGTTGTTTTTTTGAATAAATAAATATTATTCATAGCGTTAATTATCACGTAATATCTGTAAAAAATATTTGTGATTTATAAAAAAAAAATGGAACCCATTTGAACAAAAAACTAGTGGGGTGCATGGCATCGTGGCTTGAGGCAAATTGCTGGAACTTCCCGCACCGTAATTAAAAATTTTGCTACGGAACCCAAAAAAATTTACACAAAATGTGTACAATGTGTACTCTCAAACTCTAAAAAATCCCTAAAAAATATCTGATAATTTGATGAACATATGTCCAATAAACATTTTTGACCGCCAAATGATATTTATTTAACTTATTTTTATTGAGAGTCCATAATCGCAAGTCCTGCCTTGCCAAAAATTCAGTTCAAATCAGTTCTTCATCTTGTCAATACAAGTAAAATGATTTTTGAATTATTAAAATTAGATGCTCTGTTCTCCTAAAAACAGAGTTACCGTTTTTGGCACTTTTTGCCCCGTATCTTCGGAACGGCTAGACCTGTCTTCGCCAAAAACTAATCAGCACGTCTCCTTATATATACGAATCGAATGTTATTTGAATGATCAACCGATCGGTGTTCCCGAAATCGTCGACGAAAATTTGTATCCGCACACACACAATTACATCCATTTTTTCTAAGATAAAACCTTTGAAACGTAAAGATAAATATAAATTTTCATTTTCCATTTTTTGCGAGTACTATATCTTGCCCTACGGGAAGTTAATAAGTTTAGTTTTTCAGATTCATTTACCTGGGTATGGCAAATCCTTGATGGTGTCCATTTTGTACTTCAGAAGTATGCTTCAAAACCTCGAAATTATCCTTACTATCACATTCAGAATTCTCAGCAACCGAAGCGCTCTCCAAATTATTCTTCCTGCTTAAAACATCACCAAAACATTGATAGTCTTCAGTAAGAAGTTTGCCTTCAGGAATTGTTGACAAAGTTCCTTGGCCAGAGGATGAAGTGACAGATCCAGAAGACAAAGATGATGCCCTAGATTCACGTCGGTATCTTCCACCAGGATAGAGATCCCGATTTCTAGGTGTAAAATTTTGTGGACTATCACGGTTTACTTGGAGAGGTTTTGTGATCTGATTGTGAAACCGTTGGTTCCTCAAAAGTAGTTCAGGATTTTGTCTAAACCCTCCGTCTCTTTGGTAACACTCAGATTTACCAATCGGGTTCTCGTAGATAGGATAATTTTGATATTCACTGATTCGTGTATTTCGAGCCAGATAAACAGGTTGAGAAGTCCTTAAAATTGGTTCTCTATGTTCTAAATCTTTGGATATGATAAATACATTCTCTTTGTTATTTAATACATTCGTAGTATTTTCCAGACTTCCTAGAACTCTTGATTGGGGCAGACTCAGTCGAGGACGTGGTTTTGGAGAACCAGGACTTCGTTCATCCAGGGATTTTATATTTTCTTGATTATCACATGTTTCAGCCTCTTCTCCATTGGAACTTGAAATATTATCGGCAGTGGAATTGCTAAATTGAGGTTCTCTTAAAGGTATTTGATGATAATATTCCGAGTCACTTCTAAACGTTTCTGTCCATCGAGATTGCGACCGGGAAATTGTTGGAAAAGAAGGACTAGTCGTTATTTGATCTGGTTTTTTGGTAGGCGGACCACTCAGAGTCGCATTGTTGGAATGAACAGGGCTGGAAAATGTATTTTATATGCATATATAGAAAAAACACAATTATATCTACATTAGCTTATTTATCTTGTATAACAAGTAGGGTGGTCCTTAATATGGACATTGTCGAATTTCCTTGCTCTTAAGGGCTCAAATGGTTCCAAATTGATAAAAAACAATTCTCTGAAAGTTTTAGCTCTTAATATTATCGTTTAGATAGAGCGCAATTCAATCAATGTTTTGTATGGAAATAGCATGAAAAAAATTTCAAAAATTTTGCAGTGCGTCAAATTTTCAATAAAAAATAACACAAATTTTCACTTTTAATTCATTTGTCGCTAAATTATACCTAAAACTTTATTTTTTTAATTTTCAATTTTTTTTACATTCTATTTCCATACAAAATTTGATTGAATTGCGCACTATCTAAAAGTTAATATTAAGAGCTAAAACTTTCAGAGAATTATTTTTTATCAATTTGGAACCATTTGAGACCTTGGGAGCAAGGAAATTCGAAAATGTCCATATTAAGGACCACCCTAATAACAAGGTTCATGTATAAAGTTATTAAATATTAACAAGCAACAATTGTACAAGGCTATTTGTGGCATATAATGATAAATTACATTTTAATTTCATTGCAATTCTCGTAATCGATTTTAAATCTTGACGAATGGCTCTAATAATATTTTTATTGCAATAATGTCGAACCATAATTATATTTAAAAAATTAAGATATAAAACTTTGTAATGTCACGAAATCAATGTCATAACTTTTATTGTAGTCCACTCGTTTTTCTTGATTGAATTATTAAAAAAGAAATAAAAATTTTTTAACATGAAATAATCTTTTCGCGGTGAAAACACGATTATTTGTTTTATTACAATTTTTATATATAATTAAATACTCACATAGGTCACAACATTTATAATTGGTTAACGTGATATTGGATATTTATAATTAGTAAATTTATTTTATTTAAAATGGACACATTGTACAAGTAGTTGATTTAACTTTCATTTCAATTATTCAAGCAAAATTTTAAAGAAAATCATACATTCCAACAAAAAGGAGATTATTATATGCATATTGAAATGACCTGATTTTTTTCAGTTCGAATACAACGTAATTGGATTATATTTAAATCGATTCTTCAAAAAAATCATATTAAATTCAATTTGAGTTCATATTTATTCAGAAAAGTTCTCAAAGATGATGAAATATTTGACAATTTTTCAGTCTTATCTCAATTTTTTTTATCATTTAAAGTTTTAAGTATGTTGAACTAGATTTCTGTTATGGTATTTTTTTTTCATATAAAATTCAATAAGTATAATATAATGTTTTAAAATAAGGTGAACTAGAATAGGGAATGCAATGCCGATGAAAAATTTCAATACCGGTATTTCGGCAATTTCTCATTTTAAAAACCGGAATACCGGTAAATTACCGGAATTTTTATTATCTTAAATAATCGTAAACAAAATTGAAAGTTACTAGTACAAATATAAAAGAATGTATATACAACTACAATTCACTATCGAGTATATTGAGAACTTTTCACCAAAAACAAACTTATGAGTAAGAAAGACTAAAAACTCATAAAAGATCATATTACATTATTATAATAAACTGTATTGTCTGTATCCGATGTGTCAAATTAGCATAATCTCCAATATTTTAAAAAAATAATGTTTCTACATTAATTTAAGATCAGATACTTTGTCGAGATAAATAATAAGCTACTATGATTGTTGAGTATTGTTATTTAAAACAATGTAATGCTTCTATAGTATTTTCAAACTTCGAAACCTTGTCGAAAAATAATATTTTATAATTATAATAAGAAGCAAAAATATTTAGTAATTATCATAATTATTATGTATAAAGTTAGAAAAAATAAAGATTACGGAGGGGTAATCTGTATGATATAAAATATTTTGGCGCAAAAATCACTTAAAAAACAGTTACATTTTTACATAAGATGAAACAAACATTATCTATCAGACCAATTCTATTTATTGTAACACGATATGAAGCCCTTAGTAAAGCAATAAATACTCAGTTTACATTTTGTTGTAAATTTTGACATTTGTTTATCCTATAGAATCACTTGAAGATATAGCTGTTTTTGCGATTATGGAATTTAAAGATAAATTTGTTCCGAAAAATTTAAACTTCAGTGTATTATGTATCAAATAGCGCTTATGTAAAAATACCGAAAATACCGAAAATACCGGTATTTTTGGGGTAAATGCCGTTAAAAATACCGCCGAAAAATCGGGCGGTTTACCGGTAATTCAGTATACCGGTATACCGGTATTGCATTCCCTAAACTAGAATATCTTAATCAAAGTCTAAGATGTTTTGATGTAAATCTTAGCATCTAATTACGTCCTAATGACATTAAAAACCATCATATTTTAATGGTTTATGTTTCATTATTGTAGTAATTTCATAATCAATTTATTAACATTAAATTACAATATTTATACCTGTCTTTGAAGTCATCATTATAAATTCCCTCACTATGATTGGAAGATCCATAACCAGATGAATTGGATCTTTCTCTCATCATTGGACATCTGGCGAGATCCTTGTCGAGATCGACGTCCTTCATGTTGATCTCTTGGTCATTGTCATCAATAAACATTGGATTTACCCTGTAATGATAATAATAATAAATCATTAGAGTATAAGTGCAGAATGTGGTCTGTTTTATTAGATACATTAGAGCTTATTTATTGCGATATCGTGCATTTATATGTTTATAGTAAAAATAAATGTAGAGGTTAATGTAAATGTAATATTATATGTCTTCTGTTTATAGGATTCTAAGAGACCTTATATGTAAATAATATGATAATAATAATACATCGCCTGGACGTAACTGGTTTTTATATGATTCCACTTATAAGTTTCATGCTATCTAGCAAACTAAGGATTTTTTTAAATGTGTATTGGATTTGTAATATAAAAAACAATTATTTATTATTTCATTTTTATTTTATTATAGGTATATATAAATTCACATTATTCTATAAATTCTGCAAAAATTGTATAAAAAATTGGTTTATATTGTCATCCACAAAATATAAAACCAAGAATATAGAAACTAATTGAATTTCTCGTGAACGATATGTTTCTTCAGTGTTTTGATTGGATATAATTATACCTATAAAAATTAAAAGTTAATAAAAAAATTGCCAAAAATAAAACAGAAATTTATTATTATTACCAATTATTTTTGAGTTGAAATATTTTTTATGCTCAGGAATCAATTTAAGACTATTCATCGCCACATTTTGGAGAATGGTGATTGTTTTAGGTTGTTTGTGAATTTATTTACATAAAACCAAACCAAGCACTTTTGGAATAAAATCAAAGAAAAAAATTATATATATATATATATATATATATATATATATATAAAAGAGGATCGCTTTATGTGCTAACACTTATAACTCACGAACGGCTGAACCGATTTAGATGAAAATTGGCAGGGAGGTAGTTTAGAGCCAGGAGAAGGACTTAGGATACTTTTTATCCCGATTTTCAGTTTAATTGATAGTAGGTATATTTATATATATATATATATATAAAATACTAGCTAGCCCGGCCACGCGTTGCTGTGGCTCAGTAATTGGTGGCAGAGAGGTAGTTTAGAGTCCGTTTTTCATTCTAATTCAGAATATACTTTTTATTAAATTTACTTTAATTCAAGGTATGTTACTTGAAACTTTCCAAAAAGCAGGTCAAAGCAGATATATCTAATTTATTTTCTATCTCTCCTCGCAGAATTTTGAAAAATTTGTATAAGCTCAGTAGTAGTATTTACAATTATACACAAAATCCAGAATCCAAAAGAATCTGAAAAGCTTAAAACGTAATCAATAAGTCGAAATACCAAGAAAATACTTGGATTGGATTATACCATGATTTCTATAGAAAGTGTATAAAACTTCCAGTTTGATTGAATTGACAAAACATAGACAAACTAATGGGGTTTATAGTTTTTATAATACCTCATTGTATATAGCATTCAAACAACACATCCTTATACACTTATAGTATTGATAATTTTGATTCTCTAGAAATTGTTTAGAATATACCTTACTTAGCAAAACAACGTTTGCGGGTCAGCTAGTATATATATAAATTGTATGAGTAAATGTTTAGTTGATGTTTACAAAAATATATGAGTTTTATGAAAATATTATTAAATATTTTAATAAATACTACATAAATCATCCCATAATAGAAAATGATAAATGAATTCTACTCGATCAACGAGGATTATCTTCAGTTTTAGGATTATATATAACTGAATTATGAATATATGTGATAGACATATATGTATGTAAGCTTGTAGTTATAGAGAAAATATCCAAAATCAGGTAATCAAATTGACCAAACCCTCGAATAGAGTCCAGCACACCGATTTGCGGTCATAGCACTTTATTGCAATCACATATATAAATAATATTTAATTTCGATATAGTATATTTTATATTGTTTTAATAAAAAAATAAAATTAAGGGTACTAACGCCACTGTTACAAAAAAGGTAACATTTTCAGCATAAGTCCTCAAGAGGTTACATGGACTTTATCAGTTTCAAAGACCGCCAAAGTTCACCAGCACAGTTTAGAAATGTGGTATTGCTGAAGATTGGAGAAGATATAAAGAAATAACAAAAAACAATGAATTATTAGAAAACTATTATAGTTAGAAGCGTTTGATGTATGATGGTCAGAAAGGATCCAAACAAAAAATATGCGGGTGATCGATGGCTTATACAAGAAAGTACAGCTGTTTGAAAGCCAAATCAGGGGACAAGAAAGCACTGATAATAATAATATTAAATTTAGCATATTATTCGACCTTAGATCTAAATAGAATATTGTTAAAATTTAAAAATGACTTTTGTCTTCAAGTTTGTGTTCGTGTCAATCTGTACACGATCGCCACTAACACACGACTCCGCATAAATATGTAATATTACGAAATAACGTTGTCCGTGCCACGGTCAAACCAACTCATTGGCAACTGGAAGAATTTTTTTCAAAGTCAAATCTTTAAACCTACATATGTTTATCTCCAACATTTGCATGTATGTGTTTGTATATGAAAATTAAAAAATATTTTCGTACTGAGTTATTGAAATTCCTCAGAATGCGCTGAATCATTATTAATTTAACTGAAATTATTCGAATTGCTTGAATTGATAGAATTACCATTGTGGGAAAGCAATTTGACATTGATTTGAAACGTGTTTGACCTATTACAAGAGGTTTTGGATTAGTTGAAATGTACAGTAATAGAATATACAGTTTGTTCATTGCATTGGGCTTTTATGATAGCTTTATATTTGCAGAAAGTTCATTGACTAAAAAAATGGTATTTCTTCAATTCTGGACATATCGCACTGAATCATTGGAGACTGTTATTTTTAACATTTTTAGTATTTTATTCATTAGCCATCTGCCAACGTTGTCATATTTCCCAACATCAGGATCAAACAAATAAAAGTCTGATTTTTTACAGGTACTTCTTTATAGTAGTTTTACCCATGTTAATTGCATGCCGTATAATTTAAGGCCATGTTCCCAGATGATATTGCATATGGCAGCGCGTGAGATCTAGTTCGAAGCCCAGATCCCAATAAAGTGATTTTGCGAAACTTGTCGCATTGAGAAAGATTGCAAATTGTTCAGCATCGAATAAATATAGATGTCAACAAAAAGATCTCGCAAGATCTCGTTACTCGAAATGATTTAAACGATGCTGTCGATCTTTATGCATAGCTCGAAATTGGATCACAAATTATATGTTTCGAAACTCCGTGACGTGGGCGGTGTAGATCGTCTTTTTTATTGTTGTTTGGAAATATAATCATTAAACTTTTTGCAAAGGATTTTTTTTTAAGTTTTATAAATAGATCGTGATGACTATTTAAAATTTTTGAAATATTTCCTATGGGTTTTACATACTACTTTATTAGGTATCGCACAAGAATAATTGGTAATAATAAAATATAAAATCTTATTTTTATAAATATTGATAGAGCCCGTCATAGTGGAGAACGTGGGCTATCACAACTAGATCTGGGTACGATCTCAACCTCGGCCAGCTTGATACCAAGCAGTTGAAAATGATATGTATATGTTGACATAAATGATATGTATATATGTTTCATAAATGATATGTATAAATTGTTTCATATTTTTTTATACCAGGCACCTCTTTCTGACTGAGATATGAAAATATTATGTCAATAAAAGAAATAATTACTTCTTTGATCGCGTATCATTTATTATACTATGATGTCATTGAACACCAAATTTTGACAATCATAGCTAAAATGAAAAATTTGCCTATGATTATCAAATTTTAGGTCAACAACCTTTAAACATGTGATGCTACAATTACTGTAGGTGCACATTTTTCTTATTGCTGAATACACAAAAAATAATTTTGCCAGCAGAATTTTTATCTGCGTCATGGTCAAAAATCTACGCACCAAATAATATTTGGATTAAATTAAGAAGTAAATTGCTATAAAAATAAATTCTTCAGAGAACATCAATTTGTTTAGAACACTAATATATTTTGGAAACTGATAATATTCCAAATTTTATCTTTTGTTGTATCGATACATTCCAGTTTTATTGTTGTTATAATTTATTTTTTTGGATAACTTGGAAATGTATACCCGAAGAAATAATTACCAAAATGACTTTGAATTTGACTTTTCATTCTTTAGCAATAAATAGAAAATTCGGGACATTTTTTTTTTGGTTTTTGTCAAATAACTCACAAATTACATATGAAAACACTATTTTTGATTTAAACAAGCAGAAAATTTAGATAAAATTCATTACAATTCCATGCCAACAGTTATAAACACTCCAATATAAAAGTTTTGAATAAAACGACTTTGAAATTGACTTTTCTCTGTATATGGGTATATTTTAAAATCTAAAAGTTGAAAATACAGAAAAATGAAAAAAAATCTGCATTCATTAAAAATATGTTTTATATTTACTCTTATTTTTCAGATTTGTAATATTTGCAAAATTGTACTATAATATATGAGAAAAATACAACTTTCAATATAAATCAAATATAAATATAATAGTAGTGCAAATTATGTAGATAATGCCGACAAATGCAATAATAGTTATGATAATGAATAAGAATCGTCATGGTATTTTATAATGAAGAAAAACTCTATTATCAGTTTATATAAATTGAACGTAATTTTTATAAAAAAAAAATAATATAAAAACAAGGCTAAAAAAGTTATATAATATTAAAAGGATAAACATGCATATGATCCTTAATCTCAAGAAAAAGCGAAAATATGAGAGTTTAAAAGATGACATACACGACAAATAAACAAAGATAGAAAGTTTAATGACTGTTCACTAAATACCACAAATGTTGACACAAGGTAGGTACCTATAGCATTTGATCGTCACTTATTGTTAAAAATTTCATGTTTAATAAATATTATTATTATGAGAGTTATATCATCTTGTATTCGGTAAAATGGGTTGCTGTTAACTAATAGCACAATTACTGCGGATCTAATTGAATTAGCACTGCGAAGTAGAGTGAAAGTATATTATGCAATGTATTATTGGTGTATATATTTATAT